CAGCCAAATATGAAAAAAAAGGAAAATTCTCAATGAGGAAATGTCTTTAATTGACTTTTTTTCATTCACCCTTCTGTTATCTGCATTACTTTTTAGGTGATATTTTCTATTGATAAGATCAATGCATGTATTTAATTGTGTAAATTAAGATTTTACCAATAGCAAATCTTACATTATGACATATGAGGTGCTTTGAATAGAAATACTTCAAAACATCCTAATTTAATTACTGGCTTCTCCTCTTTTCCAATGCATTCCTGATCACATCCACTGCTAAGTCTACAATTTGCTTTGAGTCCAATTTACAATGCTACACATTAACTATTAGAGAATATGTTTTTAGTATTGTATCTTTAATTCACTGAAGGATCTGAAATCACTCTTCCTCTATTTTCATACCCGCCCTGCAAATAGTTTGGGGTTCATTTTGAGTCAGCCTAAAATATGCCTGCTTCTTACTTATGATGACGGGTGGGGGTAAAGGTAATGTTGTGATGATAAGAAAATTAAAAATACATTGTCTAAATACGCACAAGCATGTCTACCAAAACAAAACGATAAATTACAGACACTAGTCCCTGTTGCACTCTGAGCAGTGTTTGCTGTCACTTCTTCTTTGGTGGGAAGTTGTTCCAAATATTCTGCAGGTTCAAACTTCTAATTTAAGGTCATTCAATATAAAGGTCATGTCAAGTGTGATTTTTTGTTTTAAAATTGTCACAGTTTAGACATGTTGACAAGTTAAAAAGGTATAAGTTCAGGAAATTGATTCAGTGCTACCTGTTAAGATAGCTATCATCACCTGACTCTGTCACACCTGTCCAAGCCACGCCCCCAACATCACTAAAGCCTGCCTTCATATCACTTCCTGTCTGACCTCCAAACCACACCTGAACTACTGTGAGAAACAAAGAGAACCAAATGTGTGAATGGCCATTTGACATTTCCTTTTAATTGATATGCCATGTGTTACTTTATTATTAATCCATTGCTGTATCATATTTAAACCCTTTTATAGGTTTATTAGGTTAAAGAGAAAAAAATACTATGACTGCATGTAATTTAAAGTCACCTTCACATTATTATAGAAAATGATTTATTAAGATCTGTAATGTTTCCTTGTTTTCAGTGTTTTGTGGACAGATAAAGTCATCCATGTCGTCTACAAAGTGAATTAAACTGATTAAACACTGGAGCCTGTGTTTGCATCACACCTTGTTCAATATGAACCAGCTGCAGTTCCATTTCAGCTTTTTCAACATCAGTTATAATCTTTCCAGAAGGGGGTCAGATAATAAGCTAATGGTCAGAGCAGTCAAAGTCTGCGTTCGCTGTGAAACCATTGAGTCTGTTGCATTCTTCATGGGTGTGTTTTATCAGTTATCGGATCCACTTTGTTTGAGATCAAATAATTCTAATAAAAGTGACTTTGTCTCACTTAAGAGTTTTTAGTTGATCTTAATTCCTGGGGGAAATTTGGTCTTTACTTTATTTATTTTTTTATCACAAACAATGCAATTATATTTTTAGTCAATAATAAATCTGGACGTCTCAGAGGTTGATATTTTGCCATGCATGGTTTGATACCACCAGAAGAGAATGAGAGAATTATATTTTGTGATTTGCTTGATCGAACCCTTTAACAAGCTTGTTGTTTAAGTCGGCACTGAGCTCTCCACACCCTTGAGAAAACAGTTTTCTGAGTAGCACAGTGCAGTGATAACGAAGCAGCTTATGGTCCTCTGTTCAGCAGCTCTGGCTCCGGCTCTTCGAGGCAGGAAAAGCCGAGCCATCAGGGATTTGTCAGAGGCCTGTTATTACATCTCTAGTCACATAAAATATGGCCACCTCTCCTGAGATCCAACGGCGAGATAAATCCACTCTCCTCCAACCAGACTGGCCCCCGCAATGAAACCAGCCAATGGCGTTCCTCAGCCACTGACCTCTGTAATGACATGTGATTTATACAGTACATGTTTTAAACTGAGACACACACCTCTCCCTCTCTGTATCTATATCTGGTGTCATGTGAGATAACAGGCAGGCCTTTGGGAGAGGGGAGACATGACACCCATCTTTGGGGTCTCACAAGATGGCTACAAAGTGGATAGTTTCCCCTGCAGCTGTCTGAGCCTGCACTGAATGTGTGTCCTGCTGCATGAGCTCACTCACACATATTGCAGGTTGACACTCTATAAGCTAAGTGACCGCAGTGTGGACGGCCTAAATCAACACCTGGTTGGGCAGAAATAAGGACTCTTGTGTTAAAGGAGCAGATTACAGAAGTGCTTGAAAGATAATATGAATTACCACTAGACTGGATTATGGTCAACTGGTGCTCTTTGAGATTTACCACAAATCTAAATTAAATACTAGATCATCAAGATTATAAAAACAAAACAGAATAAGAGCAAACCCAAAAAGGAATATATCAGTCTAAGAGTGAGAAGTGTACTCCAGACACTCAGAGCGGTGTTTTGTCCCCTGCACAGTCTGGTAGATTAAGAGATTAAGCTGTGTGGCTGAAGCAGAGCTGAAAGGCTGGCCATGTCGTTGACCTTGGCGAGCGACACACAGAGATGATGACACACACCACCACAAATATCTGTCTTTCATAAACAGGCACCAAGACCCCACTCAGCTCAGCTGGCTGGACACATAGAATATAAGGTTACTTCCTTCTTCTTTTTTTTAACACAACAATGGATCCAACTGTGTTTCATTAAAGTAATGTTTTAGAATGATTATTTAAATGGTTAATTTAAATACTTAACTAAGATTTAAATGATATTTTTGGTTTATTTTATTTTTATGCTCGTTTAAGATGTGAATCTGTGAGGCTGTAATGCTTGTTTCAGTTTTATAGCCTACATCCATGAATTAGATTTTAGATATTCCTACATGTTTTTCATAATTTCAGAGTTGTAATTAAACACATTAGACATGAATTCATTATTTTTCATTGAAACTACAGTACATATGTAAACGGTTCTGCAGGATGTAGCCTAAAAGTATTATTTTTTTTTTAATAAACTGTATATTTAAAAGATTTGACGTTTATTGTGAGAATAGATTTTTTTTTTAGAGTAATTAGAAAGCTAGCAAGGAACAACTTTCAAATAATTTCATGTTTAATAAATATGTTCAAAAGTCGGTCACTTTTCCGAGCACCATCCAGAGAACATGTAACCTCTGAAATCAGAGCAGAACCCCTGCTGTTGGTTGTTGTTGTTGTTATTTTGTTTATTGCCTTCATGACCTGATTAAGTTCAACTGGTCACATTATTTAAAAATCTAAAATGAAAATTGTCTAGATGTATGTTGAATTATTTAAATGTAAAACATTTGACAGAATAGGTCTTAAAAACGAAATAAAATTTCTCTACGGTATTTATTATTTATGTATTAATCAGAAACGTTACGTGTTTAAAGTATAGGCTATATTTAGACGTAATGACCTGAAGGATCCTGCTAAAGGAAAGGATGGAGGGATACAAAATGAAAATTATTTAAATAATTAAATGGCTGAATAAATAAATTATTTTCCTATCCTTCACCTTTCAGAATCATCGTCATCACCATCATCATCACTCTGTTGATGTTTGTTTTTTTCCGCCAGTGACGTAAAGCTAGACTTTACAATATCGACTTAAAACACCAATAAAAGACAAACAAGAAAAGGAAAATGGGATACTAAATTAACGTCATTATTTCTCAACATCGCCGACAACAAATAAAACCGATTTTGATAATGATAGCCACTAATAGCCTATATTTTTAAAAACAACAAGTAGCCTAACGATGTTTGTGTCAAAAAAATACAATTTTCGTTGTTTGAAAAATCGACACCTTTGATGGTGTAAAGATAAAACTTGACCTGAAATTTAATGAAATGTAAAAATTAAAAATAACATTTCTTCTCTTTATCAGCTTTTTTTTAAGATAAAAAAAGACCCTACAAACTGTCCTGGCGCGTGCGTAAATTCGTTTATGCATATAGCCCCTCGCCACTTTTCGAGCAGCCTCAAAATAAACTCATCTTGTCAAACCTGGAGGACGCGGGGAAATTTGAGAGGAGATGAAATATTTCTCGGTTGATATAAAAGGAGCCCTTTCGCCTGAGTTATGGCCCGGGTTTGGCGTAGCTGTGAGGGATGCATGCTGCTCCTTCTCTCCGCCCCAGAGGAGGAATCATCACAGCTGATCTATGGCCCAGTTCTACTTTACCTTTACAAAACAAAGGATCATCCGCGCTTAGAGTCGAGAAAATATCCTTCTGACTACCTGCGACATCTAACATAACACCAGACTACTTGTCGTTTAAGTAACATCCGGGTAATCCAAATACTTTGGAAACAAAAGCCTACAAACTCCTTGGCTAAAACTTGAGATTTACGCACAAAAACGCTTAAATAATCTGCGGGTTTTAAATCTTTCCCTCACAACTCCCTCTTTATCCTCTCTCTCTCTCTCTCTCTCCCTCTCTGCTTCCCCTCATTTACCCCACAAACCTATTCTGGTATCTCAGCACACGACTAAATTAGACCAAAGATGATAAGAGCACAAAGCATTATAATTCCGCCGGGCTCCTCCTCCTTCCAGCCATGCGTCCTAATTAATGGGACACCCCCAGTCGCAAAAAGCCCCGCACTGGACTGCAACATAGTCAAAGAGTGAAAGGGAAGAGGGCGAAAGTGCCACTGGAGATAATTGATTACCTACCAATCAATGAGAACTTGTTAGTAATCGTCAACTCTTTGGACCTCGCCATTTTCAGGGAGGCATCTCACTCCTGCGGACCCACTGCTCCCGAGGATCCACTCTTTGAAGACATCCCATTTTGGAATAAGATTTTCTTTTCTTCCCCTTTTCCTCTCTGTCTCTTTTTTAAACCTCTTAACTGTTATGTGACTCTTTCTTTTACCCCTCGATAGCATCGGTTTTTTTTTTACCCTCTAAATATTTCTATAAAAGTCACACACAAACTCCGCGCACAGCCAATGATGACATCCAAAGAAGTGGCCAAATGTGATGCAGTGGAAACCAGGAGGCGAAGCCCGCTGGACCACTTGCCGCCTCCTGCCAACTCCAACAAGCCGCTGACACCCTTCAGCATCGAGGACATTCTCAACAAACCGTCGGTGAAACGAAGTTACACAATCTGCGGCACCGCTCACCTCATCTCGTCCTCTGAGAAGCACCGTCCATCCAGCATCCCTCTGTCCAGCCGGGCTCTGCTCACCCAGACCTCCCCGCTCTGCGCGCTGGAGGAGCTGGCCAGCAAGACCTTCAAGGGGCTGGAAGTCAGCGTGTTACAAGCTGCAGAAGGTACTATCCATCCCCTAATTTACATCGTTTTAGAAAGTTCTTTTGTTAGTCGTTTTTTTAAATCTTTTTTTTTCTTATTCAGTGTCCTGCATGCACGAAAGAGAAATTTTGGTACCCTTTTATTTTGCACCCTCTCGTGCAATCGGTTCGTTAAATATGGTTGTTTCATGGGCAGAGAAAATGTTTTCTTTTGTTTTCTCAATGTTGTATTTTTCCTGCTAATATATGCAATCGAACAAAGACTAGTTCATTTATCTGTCTGTTTCTCAAAGAAATAAATCGCCGCCTCTAGTCTTTAATATAAGTGTCTCGAGTGTGTGCTGCTCAATATTTCCCAGTGGTGTCTGGGTAATTTTCTTGAAATGACCTGTTCCCAGCAGAGATGGAGGTTTTACTGTCTCTCACATTGTATTGGTTACCTTGTTATTATTACGTTAGGATGATTTTTACGCGATGCACCTGCACTTGGAGCTGATTTTCACCGCGCCTCTGTCTCTCCTCAACAGGCCGGGACGGGATGACTCTGTTTGGCCAGAGAAGCACCCCGAAGAAGCGCCGGAAGTCTCGAACGGCCTTTACCAATCACCAAATCTACGAGCTGGAGAAGCGCTTCTTGTACCAGAAATACCTGTCACCGGCTGACCGGGACCAGATAGCGCAGCAGCTCGGCCTGACGAACGCGCAGGTCATCACGTGGTTTCAGAACCGGAGGGCCAAGCTAAAACGGGACCTGGAGGAAATGAAGGCCGACGTGGAGTCTGCCAAGGCCGTCGGCCAGGTCCCCTTGGAGAAGCTCGCCAAGCTGGCGGACCTGGAGAAATGCGCCAACGGCACGCTGGGCCACCCGCGAGGGGAGTCCCCCGCGCGGGGAGGCCAGGAGCACGAGCTCGCTCAGAAACTGCGCTCATCGCCGCTGTCGCCATTCTCAGACCACACAACGAGTAAAGAGTGCTCGGAGGACGAGGACGTGGAGATTGATGTGGATGACTGATTGCGCAGCGTGGGGCAGACACACAAAAAGACGATTTTAAAAAATCCTCGCGAGGACTTGTATCTTATTGCTTATATTGTATACCATATCTGAGAACATGTACCAAAATGTAATGACTTTTATATCGGCGCAGATAGAACTATTCATAGTGACGCATGAACACAGAAGCAGAAATATGCAGTGATATTTTATTCATTAGCAAACTGTCACTTGCAATCAAAGCAATATGGTCTGATATGACACGAGTAACTTATTATTTTTTTACACTTTAGGCCAACACACACACACACAACATACAACACACACACAC